AAGATAAGTATATAGTTCGTATTATAATATTTGTTGCTGATATTTATATATACCTATATATGTGATTCGAGATTTTTACTCTGGTTTTCTGTTATCAAGAAAAACACGATTCTGATACGTTTTCAATTTTTCGTCATACATTAGGAAATCTCGCTCGCCCTGTAACAATCTGTACATGAATTTAAAGTATTTCATTTTTATAAAGTGTAATGTAACTATAGCTATAAAAAAATCGCGTTCGCTATGCGGACTCTACCGAGAATCGTAACGCATTTACTAACAAGCAATCTTCCATTTGCAGTTTTTACCTTCTTATATATAGGTAAGTATATATAGAAATAAAAAATAATGTATTAAACTATAAATATGCAGCTCGAAGCAACCGTCCATTAAAATTTTTATTAATTTAACAAAGAACGGGCGCAAAAAATTCATAAGCGAAATTAAGACGAGGGCTCGAACGAAACGCAGGCACGCGGCTCTTATTCAGCAAGTGAGATAGAAACACTTTCTTTATAGCTACGTCCGTCTTTTTCGTGTTCTCTTTTCCGTTTTTAATTATTGAACCACTCATTCCTAATTATTGTTATTAGCGCTGGGGAGAGTGGTGAAAATTGAGGGTCTCGCCGAGTAATATTGACCGTTCGGCTTGAGGTGCGTCCCCAGGGATGTTTTTAATTGTGCCCGCTTTTGACTTTGCTCTTGTTCTTTTGAGACGCTTCAATAAACTTGGATTTTACGATGTCCCGTTTGTATTACGTAGGTTTTATTGTCAGGAGCTAAACTCCTTAATGTTCGCAGGTTTACGTAACATTTTTTCTATTATTGAATATGTGTGTGTACACGTGCCTTTGAGGTTATATTTATAAGACGTATAAACTCTATAAGCACGGATTCAATCCGCTAATGTTCCTAATGTGGATCGGTTCGCATTAGGCATTTTATATCCAAATTGCCGCTCTCTGAGCTCACAATCCCCAGTAAGCCATGAAACCGAGATCAAAGGAGCTTGCAGCCATTACGATTGTGGCTCATTTTTTATTTAGCCGGGAGCGGAGCAGAGTACTCTTATCTTAACGCCCCCGCCTACTTTATGACGTTATAAAGCTGATTTTTAATCTGACATGCTCGCGAAATTGCTGGGAACAATTCCATTTCGCGGAGATTTAATGAAGATAAATATATTTTCGATCAGGTGAACTGTTTTTGTACGAAGTTGAAATTCAAAATAGACAAGGAAAGATAAACTATTGAAATTCATTTATAAGTTTAAGTGTTGATAAATAAGTAACATAGAGTTCTAGAATCTTGATCTGATCCGGTAGCTATACAGAGGCAAGTGTACATTGCTATACAAAGTTATTTTGTAGGTACAGTCATGAACATTGTACTTAAAATACGAGTGTTATCTAGCTAGTAAATATATTATCACGTAGTTCATAAAAAATATTTTTAAGACATTGCTGAAGTTGTTTGCCTGTTCTATACAGATTATACTAAAACTGCTAATTGAAATAAACGGCAGTTATCAATATATAAAAATATACGTAATGTGTATTGAATGTAAAAGTGTTTCATTGGCCAATAAAGTTTATTATTATTATTATATTATATTAATGACTAGGCTATTATAGCCCTGGTATGACTAACACCGTTTTACGTATTTTTTGTATTTTATGTACTCAAAATATGCTTTATTTTGAGTACATAAAATACAAAAAATACGCCGAAGAAGCCGAAAGAAGATTTTTGAATCTTAATCATAAAAAAAGGAAATAGAATTTACAAATTCGGTACCTAATATTGTCGTAGTTACTTGTACAAATAAAAAATATTTTTCTACACCCCAAGCTATTTGGCGCAAATTTTTATGAACAATCAGTGGCGCCCCCTCACGGCGGGATCAATATCAGCAGTTTATGAAGTATGTCACACTCGCACGTGCTAGCGAGCAATATGTTCGCATGGGGTGCAAGATTTTTATGAATACCTAAATATATATGAATTACGTATTAGTATGAATTTATTTCATTTCTCTTGATAATAATTGCTTAGATATGTGTCTACTAATCCTCTGAAGTATTTGTATAAATTTATTGAGTTAGTGTTTTATTGAAATCTGATGAAATGTAAGAACCATTTTTATTGTTATTCATATAATCGTAGTGTGTCAAAGTTTAATAAAATTGAACACAAAAGTTTACGGGATTTATGGGGTTTACAATAAGTTCGTCAGTAATGGCAAAATTGGGACATTATTACTGAAATATTTGAGCAATTTGGTAAGGATAAGAAAAAGTTTACTTTGTTTTTACTCTTATTATTATGCGTTCTATGCGTTCACCAGAGACTATATTACTTTTTACATAACATGTACTCTTTACACCCTTACATCACCGAAACCTTTAATTTCATCACAGATAATATAGAGTAAACAAAAGTATTTATTATCGCACTAGGGTAGCTAAAAAAATACATGGTTTCCTAAAATGCCGGTTACACAATATAATTACTCTGGTGATCCAAGTGTTTAGGGGCAGTGTGAGACAGGTTAGCCGCATGCTTGTGCTTGCCTCCTATGCTATAAGAATAAAAAATATATTGTATCTAATAATTTCTAAGTAAATAGTATATTTAACTCTGTCTGTTCGTCATTATGACAGCCTCTGTAGTTTAGCGGTTTATAATATGTAGGTATGTATGTATTTACGAAAATATATATATCTATGTCTTTATCAGCTATTTACTACCCATAACACAAGCTTTAGCTAACTTGAGACTAGATGGAGCTGTGTGAATTGTCCTGAGATATTATTTATATATTTTTTCCAAACTGTAGCTCAAAACAATATTTATTTCTTCTATAAAAATATTTCTTTTACACAACAATATATACACAGCTTTTTTATTACACTGTATGGCATATTGAAAATATTTTTGCCGCTGAATAACAATTTCTTGGTCTCTCCTAAGTTCATGCCGAGTTTATGTGGGTTTTATGAAAATAAGCGGGAGCCCGCTCATTTTGGGTTGGGTGGTTTGAGGAGTGGGGCGCAGGGTGGGTGTTTATGTAGTTTTCATGGCTCGAAGGACCACGCTTCTGGCTCCAAGCCAGACGCTGCAAATGGTGGCCTCTCTTTTGTTTTGTGCGCCGCGCCGGAATGTTATCTCGGTCCGTTTCTTCTGCTGCATTTGTAACTTGAAACGTAAATATGATACATTTCGCTTAAATATATCAATGTATTTTATGTAAAATGGGATGTACAAATATATTTTTTATTTATACAAGTAATAGCAAAAACGTTAAGGAGTTGCAAATTCTATTTCCGATTTTATGTTTAAGATTTCACGTGAAAAATCTTTTATTGCTTTAGGCTTTATTTTGGGTACACAAAATACCTAATACAATTAGTCACACCTATATGACAAATTCCGTACACTTAGATTAAATTAAACCAAGTAAGTTACTTGGTTTAATTTATAACATAATATAAACATTTTGTCTAACATTTTCTTTCCTCAAGCATAAGGCCCATGATGTTAAACGGTTGCATATGCTCTGTCTGTGTATTGCGGTTTTACCTTTCTATATTTGTAGTGGAGTAATAAAAACGATCTACGGTATTTAATACAAATGATGTAGATTATGTTGATAGAAAAAGAAGTGTTTTTAAATATTTCATTCATGCCGAACCAAATTAAAATGAAATGCCGAACAAAATTCGAAAATAGAATTTGTTTAAGTAGGGATATAGAAATTTGGATAAGACTGTGGCTATACCTAAAATAATAATAACCCTTAGCGTCATCTAGTCCCAAGCTAAGAAGATCGTGTGTAAAGGGTACTTAAATATTTTTTATATATATATATATATTTAATATTTATAAAAAAATGCAATATAAATAATCATGCTCATGAATACAAATGATTACACTGTGCAAAGAATCGGACCCGCGATAATCGAAACTGCTGTACCATCAAGGCCGTCAAGTTTACATTATTTCAATTTCCAAAAAGTCATTTCGTAAATCTGTATGCAAGGGTTGCGTCCGTGAAGGCACGCGGCACGTCGCAAGCTGACGTGCCACAAATCAGCCACCGCTGAAATAACTCTTGGCGATATCTCGTCGAATACCGGGCGCATTCCACAGTTCTCGCTTGCTAGATGATCTTGAGACGTGTCTTGGATGATTGAGAAACATTGAGGGGTTTGCCTTTACTTTAGAATCTTTAGATATCTCTAAGATTTCTTCCTTAAACTGCACTTGAATTTAGCTGTTCGTGTAAGTAAGACATGTAGATAAACAATTTATAAGTTGTTTAAAATTTTGCACATATTAAGAACTAGTAGTTATAGGACATTACCTATCATTTAACTCAAAAAAAGCAGAATTTCATCTGCTTCTTTTGAGATAAAAGATAGGTAATGTCCGACCTTCTTTTGTTACAAACGTTTTTCGTGTCAAATCTCTTAAATCCGTTTGGTTGTGAAAAAGGGATAGACAGATGGATATACACTTTCGAATTTATTTATTAGTAGAGGTAGTAGAGAAACAAACTGAAAAATTTACAACAATTTTTAAAACCTTTATGCCAACAGCGTTGTCACATGATCAATTTAGATAATTAAATATATGATGATAATTAAACAAAACTATTTTCATATTTCCACTTTGATGTTTGGTGAAAACTTTAATAGTTATTCTACATGGTTCTGGACTATACTCAATATAACTATCCCTATATTTATAATAATTTTCAACATAAAAATGTATATAACTTTTTATTTTTTATTTAACTTTTTTCATTAGTTAAATAAAGCAAAAATCGAATGTACTAAATGCAATTGCTTTTTTCAAATTAAGATAACTTTCAAACACTTAATTAATTTTCCATTCAACAGAACTTACTGCCAACTCACTAAGGAAATTCAATAAATATATTAATTTCATCCTATAGAAATTCTAATACAATCCAGTAATTAATATTATGTCCACAGGTAAATCGTTCACGCTTACCATAATGTTGGCAACATCACCACCACAAGTTGCGACGTACCAAAAGGCCATCAAGGTGACCGTGGACGGACCCAGGGAGCCAAGATCGAAGACACGCCACCACGGGTTCCATCCCTTCCATTTCGGACCGAGGTTCGCGCCTGATCCCCTCATGGGATCTTTACCGTTTAAACTATCAGGTAAGAGATTAATAATGTCTATATAATAATATCATATGTCTATATAATTATATTCACATAGCATTATCTACTCCCAAGCTAAAACGAACTGTAAACAAATGACAGAAATACTTAAATGCATATTTACCTTATATATAACGACTCCCGTACAATCACACTAAGGAATACATTTATTTGTATTGTGCCAGAATTGATCCTGCGACCATTGGAAGTAATGCAGTGTCCTAGGCTACTAGACCACCGTGGTAGGCCTCGGTGGTCAGTTTTCATTTTACTTATCTCTTTTAGTATCCCACTATCACTATCCCACAGTGCAACCTCATTAACCTGGATAGGTTAATGAGGTTGCACTGTAATAGCATATAATGGATTTTTTATGTTTTGGAACGGCAGACAAGCTGACGATCCAACTTTTATTTTTTGTTATTCACTACTATTGGTGACGCCCGTGATCTTACTCAAGCATTGACATACCGGAGGACTAAGATATCTTGTATTGTGTGTCTTATCTTGTATAATTTACGACAATTATATTTAGAATTATAAAGAAACTTTCGAATTAGAAATTAATAATACAATAAAGCCAATTGTAGCATGGCTAAATGAAAACAATATGAATGTCAATTTTGAGAAAACAAAATATATGCAATTTCGTACCACTAAAGCCATCCCTCTAAAATTAGATATTAAATTCAATAATAAACAGATAAAAGAGGTGTCATCTATTAAATTCCTTGGCGTATGGTTGGATCAAAATTTTAATTGGGAGATACATATTAATAAAGTGTGTAATAAATTAAATCGATTCGTTTTCGCCTTACGACGTCTTAAAGAAGTTGCATCACTGGAAGTAGCGTTAAATGCGTATTACGGGTATGTCACATCAACACTACACGGTACGGGCTGATGCTATGGGGAAATGGAACAAACACAGATAAAGTCTTTAAAATTCAGAAAAAATGCATTAGGGCTATGTGCGGACTCCACTATAGGGACTCGTGCAAACCAATATTTAAAAAACATAGATTAATGACCTTAACTGGAATGTACATTAAACAAATAGTGTTATTTGTAATTCAAAATCCAGATATATTTCCTAAAAATAAAGAAATGAGCCAAAGAAGTCAAAGATCGAGAGTAGGAACGAAGCTGTACATACATGGAACGAAATTAAGTATGGTCAAAAATAATGTCTTCCATATGGCGATAAAAATTTATAATAAAATACCAGATGATATAAAGACACTTCCACGAGGACGATTGACATATAAATGAAATAATTGGTTACTCGACAAATGTTTTTACTCCGTAAACGAGTTTTTAAATTAATAATAGTGTAATAATAATAATATGTATTTATAATTCTCTGATGACAATTGATTTAATAATTAAATAATATTTAATATTTATATATTTTGCATGCCTAATGAGGCAAAACATAATGGGACATTATATTACAATAACAACCAATGTAAACCTATGTTTAGTGCAAATAAATTTGATTTGATTTGATTTGAATTGATTTACATTGCTCAATGTGACCATACAACTATAACATGACGAATCAAGGTGCTTGATGGCTGAAATAGATAGGCCTGATAAAACCGAGGTAACGACTCAGACGACATTATAGTCTATCCAGGGTAAATATTATATAAAATTCCCGATTTTTTTACGTAACAAATAATAAGGAATTCATGTAAACTTAAAAAAAATCATATATTAAAATGGTACAAGGTAAATTGTATCAGAAATTTGTCACATGTAAGTTGACAGTTGCTTTGTATCTCACGTAACGTAACGTCATCAACAGTAAGTTAGTGACGTCACGCCGCCCCTCTTGTACTTTGAGCTGGGCCGACATTTCCATCCTACTGATATTAAATTGTCAGGGATCCAGGGACCGTTGTCACTCGCGTCCGACGCCTTAAAAAGGGATTTAATTTGCCCGAGAAGTTTTGCGAAACAATTAATTATCTATTCGGTACCCTCTTTTGACACCTGTAAGAAACACTGGGGTCCTGAACGTGATATTTATATAAATACTAGTTTCAGCCCGCGACGTCGTTTATATAACAGGGATACTTTGTTGTTCTATTCGTAGAAAAATACCTTGTATGTATGATTTCGATTAGTAGTAGTAGTAATTAAAATAAACATTACTTACTTATATATTTTTTAGTCTCTTAAAATAGGTACAATGTTATAATATCGCCGAAAAAGAGGAGTTTCTATTTTCAGGGGTTAATTATAAGGCGAAATTCTCAGTTTCAAAAAAACTCAGATTAAAATGCGATAGTGATGGACTGTCTATCTGTTTGTTGCCTATTCACGACTACACGGCAGAACGCATTTATATTAAATTTGCCATGAAGATACAATTTATCCAAAGAATGTATATAGATTATCTTTTCTTTCAAAAACGAATCTGGAAGGAGATGAAATAGGGGGTGAAATTTGTATAGACTACTATACATACATACTACACGTACTATACATATACATACCTATATATATTGTACTATAGTATACCTAATAACACTTATTTCTACGAACATTATTTATTATTACGCAGAGATACCTTTTCTTACAGATGTTTGCTTGATATATCTGTCGTCAATTTCGTTGTCATTAAGTAAGGAGGTCGCACCTGCACAAAATATTTCGCAACAAAGCCAGGGGTGGCCCCACGTCGCGTCGCTAAGCGTCGGCTGGTTGCCGTCGCGACACCCCGACTTAGGAACTCGCACTTAATAAACACCATAACAAAATGGTGACAAATGTCAATAGCCACTGAATTTTATGGCTAAATAATAACTTGTGAATATATAAAAAGAACTGTTACACATAAAAGATCTTCGTGATATAGTCTATTCTCTTTATTATAATATATGTTACAATCTTGAAAAGGTAACCAGCCAGATAAGCAGAGACACTTTTGCGTTTATAATATTCAAGTACTGATGATGATAGAGTATAAATTACTCCATCTATGTGTATATACATTAGCGAAAATGATATACATCGTTATGTCCGGAAAAGAGCTTCACCTATCGGGTCCAATTTTATTTTTAACACATCTAAAATTCCTTTGGAATATCTATACGCACAAAATTTTATCCAAATCGGACTCGCTGTTTAGGAGATGATAGGTGACAAATACGCAGATGTATTATATATATATTAAGCGTGTGATATGTACAGTAGTTTGTCACCTTTGTTGTCTCCACAGTAGTTTAGTGAGGCGAGCCATGAGGCATGAGGCGTGAGGCGTGAAGCACGAGCGTGAGGCGTCGTTACGCAAGTGCCGGAGCAAACCTCGTTAAAGCGGGTGTCAAAGGGCTGTAACTCAATTACGTACACACTCTTGTTGCGACCCGAGACACATGCGACAGTCGTGCCAAGATACCGGAATTAATGCATGCTAATTTACTTTACTCTCTAAGCTGGACTTATAATGAGAAGCAATTTGATTGAATATCTCAACGTTCCAGGCTATTGTGCAGCCTAATTTTATTTATAAGAATGAAATAGTTATGGGTAATGATAATACCATTGACATAGATTATAGTTGTTTTCCGAACCGCTATCATAAATATAGATAGGTACGATAGATAGATTGATTTTTAGTTTTTTTACATGATATCGTCGATATATCTAAATAGAATTTGATAAATCCTTTCCGTAATGTTTCTTTCTGAGCTCGCTAAGCTTTAATGGTACCTAATCTTATGGATATAATTAACATAGATAACTAAAGCACGTAAGAAATCAATTTAATGGTGTGTTTTATAAATGAGTGCATATTTTCATAAAAGTCACAATATCAAACATTTGAAGTATATATTTCCCTGGGAAATATCACGGTAATTCACAACAACTCACAACAGCTCGTAACATGTCTTTTGTAGGCCGTGTAAAGTTATTCTCATTAGAGATATACGCATAATAATTATTTCAACCAAACGTGAGGCTTCTTTCGACTCCGGTTCTCGCAAGAAACAATTTCACAGTACCTACTCCAATATGTAAATTCCGGGATTCTTGCTTGACGAGTGGCAACCATCTCGGCTGCCCTCTCGACATTGTGCGTAGTACCAATAACCCTTCCAAAATCATGATAAATTATCTACACTCACGCTTTGTGCCACTCTCATAGACTTTGGCTTTCGTTTAACATTAGAAATGGTATGGATGTGGCATACAATACACTTTAATAAATAATATATGTAGTGTATTTTATTAATATTTATATATTTTTTCAGTTATGGATTAATATAAGATGATACCACGGTGCACCAAATCATACTGAAGAGGTAGTCAAGTTAGTTATCTATCATATCCTAGCGAATTCTTTTCAGGAGATGGAATATATGATTAGCAACGGTAGCCTTATTTACTAACAATTTCTATCCCTATCCCTATACACTTTACTGAAAAGATAGGTCTGGTCAAAGCTTATTTCTGAACTAAGATTTTTGTATAGACAATGAAGATATTGAAAAAAATACTAATAGTATTCAATATTTAGTATAATATTGTAAACATTAGCAATAAAACAATAGAAAACATCAATTTGTAATGATTAAAATGTATAACAATCAATTTGGAATTCAATGTTATGCATTTGATTCATTTTATTTTGAACAAAAGTAATTTGTCATTATAATTCGTGTATCCATGTATTGAGGAGATCGGAGAGGCTCACGTCGTCGTACTAGCGCTACTTAAAGTCGCAACATTCGCATTATTAATGAGGGAGCCTTAGAGAAAATTAAATATAGCATTAGGCCCGGAAGCCCGGGATTGTGGGGGAGAGGAGAAGAAAGGGGGAGACATAACCCTTCCGCAGCCGCGCGACAATGCGGGCGCATAATTACGCATTTGTAAATTTTAAATGTCCCACCCACCTCATATAGCCTTTTGTACGGCGTGATTCGCGCTTTTAAAGCACCTTTAAATACTCTCAAATGAATTAGAATGATGACGCGAGCACGATT